TATGGATTGTAAGGGATGTGAAATGTATACAACAAATTTATTTGAGATGCATATATACTATTATGGAAAATGCTTAAGAAATAATGTTAAGTGAATGGCTGTCATTCACTTATGACATGTCAGCAGAGGTGGGAAGGGTTGCTGAAGGCAGGGAGGGAGAAGGAAGGGGAAGGAAATGAGGGTGGGAAGAAAAGAGGAAAAGTAGAGAAAGGGGGTCCATAGGATGGGGATAAGGGGTGCCCTTGCTTTCTGACTCTGGTGATACACTCCTTAATACAGTTAGAAGGATAGTTGCATGGAGAGGACCCTGGTGTCCTGACAGATGTCGAGAACACTATGAGTCTCCTTTTCCTCTTGGTAGGTGGAGTTGAGGTGTCAAGAGCTGGATTGTTATGACCCATGTGACCATACCCACTAGAGTTGACCATCTCCCCTTTCCTACAAACTCCCAAACATCATCAGAATCAACCATTTCTTAAAGTCCAGTAAATTCTGTGTCTTGTAAGTGCAAAGATCACATAGAATTGGGTATTGGAATTGAAATAGCATGGAGGAGTTAGGAAATAATTTTAATCCAAGCCCCTCAAGGCACAGATGAGGCTGTTTGAGAACTGGAGAAGTAAAATGACTGTACGAGATCACATAAGAATGTTTGCAGCAAATCTGGGTTGATTCTCTTTGTATCTGGGCTGATGCTCTCTGTATAGTCTTGACAAGCTGGTCTTTGCTGTGCTCTGTTCTTGGATACTTGATGGCTGGCTTCTTAGGGCTACTCAGAGAGCATCTCTTCCAGGCGATCTCAAATGTGTACTTAACACCTGGGAGTGGTCAGACCAAAAGCTGAGTGGAATAGGAATGCAGAAAAGGTGAAAGGCTTCTTCCTTTCCACTCTTTCAGGAGAGTAAATGTTTCTCACTTATGATGATGATGATGATGATGATGGTGGTGGTGGTGGTGGCTAATTCTTATGGAGAATTTACTAAGTGCCAGGGCTTATTTTAAATGTTTTTATATATTAACTTACTTAATTCTCTTAACATTCTAATGCAAATGAGGAAACTGAGGCACAGAGAAGTGGAGAAATTAAGTGAGTGAAGTCACTTTACTAAAAAGTAACAAAGTGAGAATTTGAACCAGAGTCAGATCAAGAGTCCATGCTCCTAACTGCTATTTAAAACATAGAGAAAGAGAAAGACAGAGAGAGGACGAGAGAGGGATCAGTGACGGAGAAAGGAGAGGGGACAGAGGGTGATAGGGAGAGGGAATTGAGGAAAAGAGAGATCGAAGCTTACTATAGATGTGTCCACTGGAAAATACATGTCTCCTTGCAGAAATTGGCTGGTCTACAGAAAACTGTTCTTTGGCCAAATTTCTTCTTGGCAAGCACGTGTTTGCAGAAAAATGAGCCCAAGACTTTCTACTTACAATGGCTCCTTCATGCCCCCAATTCTCGGTAATATGTTACGATGTCATCACGATTTTGGAACATTACTTCTTAAGCCTGGAACCTTTGGCTACTGGAAGTCTTGCCAAGACTATGGAATTGGTGGGTTTCCAATCTCTTCCTGTGCTGTGTGTTGGAGTCCCAGCAGATGGAAGAGTGGGAGTGGGTAAAAGGCATGGTAAGAGAGAAGGAGAAGGAGGATATTTATTGGCGTTCTTTGCAAATTTCTATGATTTATAGCCAAAAGAGTTTATTTTAAAACTTCCTGATGAATAAACAATACTGTTTATAGGAAGATGTCTGGTAAAATTCCTTCAGTTTTAACTTTGTTATATTTCTATTACAAATTTGATCTGGTCCCTGAAAAAGTAAGAAGCTTACATGACATTAAAAATAAAAGCTGAAAGAATGAAAAGAGAATACACATTCAAGTAACTATTTGTTTAGCCAATGTGGTAACAGCAATGGCTTGAGTGCTTTTTTGGAATTAGCTGATTTTTGAACCAACGAGTTATATCCATAAGAAAGCTATGATCTGATGTTCTCTTCACCTTAATTGATTCTTGGGTCTTTGAAGTACAGAGATTAATTCTCAGAATGTACAGTTTAGCATTTTCAATCTGGACAGTGGGGTGGGAAAACTGATGGGAATTCTCAAACCATTAGCCTTTGGGTAGGATTGCCTTATCAAAAGTTCAAAACAGGTAATGTTTTTTTCATTTTGTTTATCCCTTGATGCTGTGTTTGCTCACCTAGAACTGTCAAGTTTTCTTCCTCATTTTTCATCAAAATTTGTTCAGGTGCTTCATTCTGAACAACATTTTAGCAAGTCCAATCTACCATGATATTAAAGGGATAATACATCATGACCAAGCGGGATTTATCCCAAGAGTATAACATTGGTTTCACATTTGAAGATCAATTTATCATATAAACAGTAAAAAGAGTATGGGGAATCTGTGTATCTTCCACTCAGTTTTGATGTGAACCTAAAATTTCTCTTAAAAAAATAAAGTCTGTTAAAAAGAAAGGAATTGTGTAGCTATTTCATTAGGTCAAGAAAAGGCATGTGACAAGATGCAGTATTTTTTTTTCATGATCAAAACTCTCAGAAACTAGGAATTGAAGGGAACATTTTGAAAAACCTAGAGTTAATGTAATACTTAATGGTGAGAGAGTAAATGCTTCCCTTCTAAGATGAAGAACATGGCAATGATGTCCTCAGTCTCTGCCTCTGTTCAGCAATGTGTTGGAGCTTCTAGTGAGTAAAACAAGGCAAGGAAAAGAAATAAAAGGTCAAGGGATGGAAAAGGAAGAGATAAAATCAGATCTTATCCAAACACTGAAAATACCAGTGTTGGCAAGGATTTGGGGCAACTGAAATGCATACATTGGTGGTGGGGACGCAAAGGGAAGCCACCATTTGGGAAACAGGCAGTTATACAGATACCAACCACATAAACTGTAATTTCGTTGCTGGACATTTACCTACGAGGAAAGAAAGTAGGTGTCTGTACAAAGACTTATACATATACATTTGTAGCAGCTTTATTTATTAATGCCCAATACTGGAAGTAATCAAAATCCCCATCAAAAGGTGAATGGATCAACAGATTGTGGCATATCCCTATAATGGAACGGTATGTATCGACAAAGAGCAAAACAAATATTGATACATGTGACAACATGGAAGAATTTCAGAACCACTAGGCTGAGTGAAAAAGTCAGACAAGAATACATACAATATGAATTCATTTTTATTAAATTCTAGAAAACGCCAAGCAATCTGTAATGACAGAAAGCAGGGCAGTGGTTACCTGGAGAAGAGAAGAGAAGATGAGAGATGGATTTCTAAGGGGGCATGATGACATTTTGGAGGGTACTTAAATATTCATTTTTTTAAATATTTTTATTTATTTCTAGGAGAGAGAGAGAGAGAGACAGCGTGAGAACGGGAGGGTCAGAGAGAGAGGGAGACACAGACTCTGAAACAGGCTCCAGGCTCCGAGCTGGCAGTCAGCACAGAGCCCGATGCGGGGCTCGAACCCACGAACCGCGAGATCATGACCTAAGCGAAAGTCGGACGCTTAACTGACTGAGCCACCCAGGCGCCCCTAAATATTCATTATTTTGATTGAGGGTTTTTTTGTGTGCTTGTGCTGAAACTCATGGGCTCGCACAGTTTATTAAATATATGCAGTTTATGCTATGTCAGTTACATCCCAGTAGAGCTGCTATGAAATTAGCAAGCATGAAACAGAAGGTAGAGGAAGCTATTTGGGGGCCTTTCCTGATGTTCCTGGAACTTCATCAAGTAGACTGTTACCTGCACTGCCTATATCCAAGTTTGGCCCTATTTTGGTGTAGGAAAAGATCTAATTATAACCCAGCTTCTGAAATGTAATGTATTTATTTCAAATGGACCAACTGTTTCTATGTTACCTTGATGTACCCAGTCCCTAAGAAGGAGCTGGCAGTAATCGGGAGGTAAGTTCCTTGTTCCAAATACCAGAGAATCAGGTGTGAGGCAGCTGAAAGAGCTCTTATTTTTAATCTTATTTCTCCCCAAAATGAAATATATACCCTGTGTTGATGCTTCAGAACACTGAGAATGAACACAGATGGTAAATCAAATTTAGGGAGGAGGGATGTTCTATATAACTCCTAAATGCCAACTCCAAAACACTAGATGGCTCCCCTAATGTATTTTAGATTGGAGTTAAAAATAGGGCTCCTCATCAGAATTATTGAGAAAGATGACAATCATTTTTCAAGCAATGGATGGTTGCATCTATATGGGCTCTAGCCGATGAAGAAAAGGAAAATGCCATTCAGACTGAATAAAGCACTTTTAGAGATTGGAACTTTCAGCTATTTCTTCCGCAGTGGGGCTAATACACACCACATAAGGCCAGCCTAATGAGCTGTCGCTATTGAATGATTTGGGAATGCATTACACAAAATGGTCATGTATTATTTCAGAAAAGAAACAATAAGCGTTTTTTAAATCAACTTAAAAACATGTACTTGACAGTTGGTGTTGAAGGGTTGCAGAATATGACACTCCGAAATATGCCTGTGGGAGCTCAGGACATGCCTCTGCAAAACATGTCTCATTGGTCTAGATTATTCTGAGCTGTTGGCACTTGAAAAGCAGCAAATGCAGGGAGAAGCTTCAGCTCCTCCAAAAAGAGCTCGATTGTCATGGATGGGTTCTCTGGGAGTTTCTTCAACAGGGAAGACTGACTCTTGTCACAGGAAAACAGAGTAGACGTCGACCCCACACCCAGACAGACTTTGTCACAAACTATGGTACCTCCGATCTTTTCCTCTAAGTGTCCCTCATCCTTCCTGAAAATCATTTCTTCTCCCCAAGAAGCCTGAATCTCCCTCCCCTCTCCCTATTATAAAGGTGGTATTTAAGCCTGAATTCTAAGCCACCTTCAGGAGTTACTCATTTTCGCCTGGCTCTTTTCCCTTCTTTATATGATGTTACATGATAATCAGCTTCTGTTTCTTTTTCTCTTGTTAATCTGTCTTTTATTGTAAGGTCTCAGATAAGAACTTGGAAGGGTAGAGGGAGAATTATTTTCCATCCCCTGCAGTGTCACAGGATTATTAACAGCAGTAAAAGCCAAAATGACCAACTTCAACTTTACTGAGCCCCTGAGGATGTTTTGGAAGCAGGAGGATGGAGCTGAATTTTCTGAGAGGCTGGACACATGCGTTGGCTGAAAGGTTAGAGAAACTGATAAAGAAATTAAAAAATGCAGGTTCTTGAATTAGTCGTTTCCAAATATTCCTAGATGTGTGAATTTACCTATTTTTCTCATCTGTAAAATGGATATTCAGTGAATGCTAGTCTGCCCATCCCCACTAACGAGCAGACTTCACTCTCCTTGTGTGTACATAGTAGAAAAATCTATATCTATATTTGCATAGTACCTGGTAGTTTGTAAAACACTTTCATATTTATGAGTGATTTGCAAATTTTTTTTTAAAAAAAGGAATGTTTTTTGTTTTTTGAAATGAAAGACTACACGGATATGCAGGATATAAGAAAATATAAAGGTGGGTTTGCTCTGGTTGAACAAGGTTGAGAGTTTCAACCTTTGCAATGCCTCCAACCATTCCTATACCTTCTTCCCCTCTATATGAGAACTTCTCTATGCAGTACAGTTGAAAACCTCTGCTATTCATTATATCATTTGATCAAATACAGGACTTAGATGGACACTGATATGATAGAGAATCTTAGAAATCAGAGGATTATGTTTTCATTAAAATCATATATTTACTTCTTTAGGGGCTTTATTCTAAGAGGCAGCGTAGTCTGTGGGGAAGCCCCTTTCAGGAAAGATGCTTTGCTCATGGGTGAAGGGGTGTTTTCTCCAGCTAGTCTATCAGTTCACTGAGGAGATTACTTCTCTGTTTCCATTTCTCTGTCTCTCAAATGGTTATATTATTTAATAGCAACCTCCCTTCTGTTTTCAAGGATACTAAGAAAGGGATCCAAGTTCACTGAATGAATCATACACAAAGCCAGAAAGAAATAATGAACCAATTGTGAAGATGGATATGGGTGAAGAAATTTTCTTTTATCTTAGACAAGCCAACATTTTCCACGATGCCAATTTTAATATAAATCTTGGCTAATGTCTAATAACCCAAAGCCTTGACTAGTGACTAATAAAATTGAGTTATTCTACTTTTTGGATTACAGAAAAAGGCAATTGCTAGCTGAGTGGCCCACAGGGGATTCTTCTGAAGCAAATGAACCCTTGTTTTCCAAGTAGGGCTAATGTTTCCCCCTCAAGCCCTGTGAGATGGTCTTCCGGGAAAATAGTCTCAGTTCAAGCTTCCTTAAGTTCCACAGGGATGAGCACATCTTGTACAAGCTATGATATTTAAAGCTACACTGAGCTTTCAGATTGCTATGCTAAGAGAAGTAGATTATTCCTATGACAAACCTTTAGTGGTTTGGCCCAGATTAAGCATCTGATTGTCCAGGAGATGGATGGGCCTTCCTCTGGGTCTCAACCTCCTTCCATTGCCTGGTTTTAGTCAACAAGGAGATGAAAGGAAGAAGCACAAAAAAGTCTGTCTGGGTGAGCAGCTCTATAGAAGATTTAGTGCAAGGGGGAAGTGTTGGAACCTTTTGGTTGTGTCCAATTTCTGCCTTAGGCAGTGATTTCAAGTATCTAGTTTTTTTTTTTTTTCCTGCACATTCAGACTCTTGGAGGAAGAAAGGTGATCAGTTACTCATCCAGGACTGTGGATCCCAGACTTTCAGAATTTTTATGGATCAGAAGAATTCCAAAAAAAACTTTTGGAATCAACAGGAGCTTGGTGACTTTCTTTTTAAAATTTTTTTTTAATGTTTTATTTATTTCTAGGAGAGAGAGAGAGAGACAGCGTGAGCAGGGGAGGGTCAGAGAGAGAGGGAGTCACAGACCGAAACAGGCTCCAGGCTCTGAGCTGGCAGTCAGCACAGAGCCCGACGCGGGGCTCGAACCCATGAAGCGCGAGATCACGACCTAAGCGAAAGTCGGACGCTTAACTGACTAAGCCACCCAAGCACCCCGTTGACTTTCTATTTAGCCAAATAAGGCCTTTTAAAAAATGACTCTTTTCCTCTGTCATCATCATTTCATTAACAAACTGACACTTAACTACCCTTACCTCTCCCTACATGGAGGGAGGATGTAATCTACAACAAAAGGCAATCTTTTACATTTGAGGTTTGGCTTTGTGAAAAAACGCATTACACAATCTTTGTTTTTCTTGTTTTGCTGTGGAATTACAGAGCGTTGCCACGGACCAGCACTTGGGAACACCAGTGTCAGAGCACCCTGGAACACTAGGGCAGATTCCTTAGCAGCCTATTTCATGTAGAATCAATGATTCCATTGGGAAAAACAGTTTTAAGGGCTTTTGAAGTGGCTAACTATGAAGCGCTCAGGACCTTGTCATGAAGCATTAGACCCGCCATATGTTTGGTGGTGTTCTTGGTGATCGGGAGATATCAGAGATAGGAACAAGGCAGAGGGCATAATTTCCCTCCTTGATCATTGCCTTAGTGCCAGCACAAAGGGATATTTTGTCTGTGATTCTGTTTAGGATCATTCACATGACACCTTAGTTCATCTCAAGGGCAGCGTGTTAATAGCTAAAGCCTATTAAAAGAGTATCAAAGACCTCAATAGGAAATTAGGGCCACCCGTTCAGTCTCTACTATTACTGTATTCTTGGGAGAGAGATAGTGTCCTCCCCACCAAAGATCATTGTCAGTGGCCAGGAAAGCCGCAGTGGACATGGGAATGTGGTTGCCACCATGACAGCATTATAATTCCAACAGAATCACGGCAAGGTCAGATGGTGCTGGGCCAATATGAGGGCCAGAGGCAGCTGGGGTTGGCAGGTCAAAGGCACCAGGGGTGGTGAGGGGGGGCTTTAGTGATCACTAAAAGAACAGTGACCTGACTGCCCAAAGAAGGAAGAAGCTATGGAAAATTCCATTTCCATGAATCCTCCGGTTGGGACAGTTTCAATGACTTAAAAAATTAATAAACTTAATTTTTTTTAAGAGCAGTTTTAGGTTACAGAGTGATAGCTCAGAAATTATAGGGGGTTTCTGTGTAAACCCATCCATCCAATCAACAATTCCCCTATTAATAACATTTTGCACTGGTGGGCACTATGGTCTGAAAGCTTTTACCTCCCCCCCAAAATTCATATGTTGGAAATTCAATGCCCAAGGTGATGGTACCAGGAGATGGAGACTTTAGAAGGTGATTGATCATGAAGGGTTGAATGAGATGCCCTTATGAACGAGGCCCCAGAGAGATCTGTCTTCCCTTCCACCTTGTGAAGATACAACCAGAAGTCTGCAACCAGAAGAAGGCCCTCACCAGACCATGGCGGCACACTGATCTGAGCCTTTTAGCTTCTAGCGCTGTGAGCAATACATTTCTGTTGATTATAAACCACTCTGTTTGTGGTATTTTGTCAAGCCGGAACTGACTGAGACAGTGTGGTTCGTTTATTACAATTGATGAACAAGTATTTATACATTATCATTAATGAAAGTCTATAGTTTACATTAGAGTTCACTTTTTGTGTTATAGAGCTCCGCGGGTCTTGACCATTGTGTAACGAGATGTATCTACCATTATAACATCATACAGACTAATAGTTTCACTACTTTAAAAGTCCCCTGTGAGCTACCTGTACCTCATTCGTATCCTCTTCCTTGAACTCTGGGCAACCGCTGATCTTCTTACTATCTGTACAGTTCTGCCTTTTCCAGAATGACGTGCAGTTGGAATCCTAGAGTATATAGACTTTCAGAATGACTTCTTTCACTTAGCAATATGCATTTAAGTTCCCTCCATGTCTTTTCTTGGCTTCATGGCCTCTTCCTTCCTCCTTTGAAAGTAGTTTTATTTAAAAAAAATTTTTTTTAATGTTTTATTTATTTCTAGGAGAGAGAGAGAGATAGCGTGAGCAGGGGAGGGTCAGAGAGAGAGGGAGTCACAGACTCTGAAACAGGCTCCAGGCTCTGAGCTGGCAGTCAGCACAGAGCCCGACGTGGGGCTCGAACCCACGAACTGCGAGATCATGACCTAAGCGAAAGTCGGACGCTTAACCGACTAAGCCACCCAGGTGCCCCTAAAAGTATTTTTAATTGTGGTGATAAATATATGTTACCATTTTAGCCATTGGTAAGTGTACAGTTTAGTGGCATTAAGTACATTTGCACTGTTACCCAACCATCACCACCATCCCTCTCTACTTTTTTATTTTGCAAAACTAAAACTGTACCCATGTAGCTGTAAGTCTCCATTCCCCACTCCTCACCAGCCTGACAAATACCATTCTACTCTCTCTGTCTATTAATTTGACTACGCTATGTACCCCATGTAGGTGGAACCATAGTATTTGTCTTTCTGTGTCTGGCTTAGTTCACTTCGCCTGATGTCCTCAAGGTTCATCCATGTGGTAGCATGTATCAGAATGTTCTTCCTTTTTAAGACCGAATAATATTCTATCATATGACTGTACAACATTTTGTTTGTTTATTCACCTACCCAGGGATACTTGGGTGTCTTCCATCCTTTGGCTAATGTGAAAAATGCTGCTAGGAACATTTCAAATATGCAAATATTTCCTTAAGACCCTCGTGACGGGTCATATGGTAGTTTTATTTTTAATTTTTTTAAAATGTTGAAAAAAATTTTAATGTTTATTTATTTTTGAGAGAGAGAGAGATCGAGAGAGAGAGAGAGAGACAGAGCACAAGTGGGAGGGGGGCAGAGAGAGGGAGACACAGAATGTGAAGCAGTCTCCAGGCTCTGAGCTGTCAGCACAGAGCCTGATGCAGGGTGCAAACTCATGAGCTGTGAGATTGTGACGTGAGCTGAAGTCAGCCGCTTGACCGGCTGAGCCACCCAGGCGCCCCTAGTTTTAATTTTTAAAGGAACCACTACACTGTTTTTCATAGCCCTGCACCACTTTCCACACCCACAGATGGTAAACAAATGTTCCAATTTTCTGCATCCTTATGAACACTTGTTATAAAAAAACCTTTTTTTTTTAATAGTAGCAATCCTAATGAGTGTGATACCATAATGTATCTCATGGTACATGGCTTATTCCTTTTTATCTAATGATATACCGTTGTGTATAGATGTACCATAGTTTTTTTTATCCATTCACCTATTGAAGGATATCTTGGTTGCTTCCAAGTTTTGGCAGTTATGAGTAAGGCTGCTGTCAACATTTATGTGCAGGTGTTCATGTGGACATACATTTTAAATTCATTTGGATAAATACCAAGGAGCATGATTGCTGGAGCATATGGTAACACCATGTTTAGCTTCATAAGAAACCATCTTCCATAGCGGCTGTACCATGTTGTACTTCCAACAAAGACGATTTTTGATGTTCATTATTATTGTTACCCACACCCCTTGATTGTCCTTGCTCGTTGGTGTGCTCTGGGAAGGAAAAGTGCAGATGGATTGTTGACAACTGTCAGAATCTTATCTTTATGTTCCTTCATTACAACCTTCAACCGACTAGCCCTCTAGAGAACGAATTTGGACTAAACCGAGGCAAAAATTGCTTAGGTCTGGGTTCTGGATGCCAGACTTCATTTTCTGTAGAGATTAAAGAATATTAACAAAGGTAGAATTTGAATACTCCCCAAAATAAAACTCACAGTGCTGCATCTAAGATACACATCATTTACGTGCTAATATTCTCTTCTACTACATTTCCTATGCTTTCAATACTTGGATACATTTCAATGTTTGGGACCCTGTGCTCCACAGAAATCTGTTTACTTTTCAGAGAAGGGAGAGTGGTAAAGGACTCTTCCTGAAAGTTTGAATCTGGAACTCAGAATTTAAAAATACCAGCCTCCTTGAGAATATTCAGAATTGTTTTTATAGGTAGAATTTCTAAATTAAAATGACCCTTACTAGATACACTCACAACCGAAGTGAATGCGTATGTGTACCAAAAGACATATAAGAGAATGTTCTCAGATGGCTGTGTGTGATAATTCACAATGAGCAGCAATCCTAATGTCCACCAATGGTAGGATGGATACATCGAATGTGGTATCTTCATACAATGGAATCCTCTGTGGCAACAGGAATGATTGAACTACAAAGACACAATGAAAATGGATACCATTCTGTTGTAATTATGTAGCTTCATTCTATACATCTTCCAGGACAAACCTACCCTCATTATTCTTTATGGATAAAGGTATAAAGTAGGCGGTCTGTGTCTGTATGTCTGTATGTGTGCTATACATGACTTATTTTGCTGGGTGTTGGGGATATAAACGAGTTTAACACAAAATACCAGCTCTGGTGGGCTTTATGCTCCTGAGAAGAAAAGATGTATTGTCAGGAAGCGTAAAGAACTGCACGTATTAAAGTACACAGGGAAACAATGATAAAGATGTGTCATCAGGCAACGACTTTTCGTCAAAGTATTAAGTGCAGTGAGTTGAAAAGAAAAATCCCTGTGAACTGGAATGCTCTGGTTTGGCTCCTTGGATAATGATGAAAAATAGTTTGGGTGGAGAGTCCTAGAATTTGAAGCTTTATGCAATATCATTTATATTCATGGGTTGGTAAGGAGACTGGACTAGTAAGGGCTTAAGCTTGAAAAGTGGGAAATAATATTGAAAACTGCATTCATACTGGATTACTTAAAGGCTTTATTGTTCACTGCATTAGTTTTCTATTGGGGCTGTAAGAGTGCCAAAAACTTAGTGCCTGAAAATAACACAGGTTTATTGTCTCATAGTCCTGGAGGTCAGAAGTCTGAAATGAGCCTCACTGGGCTAGAATCAAGGTCGTAGAAGTGCTTTATCAAATTCTAGAGATTTAAGGGGAGACTCCATTTTCTTGCCTTTTCCAGCTTCTAGAAGTTTCTTACATTTTCTGACTGTGGCTCCTAATGTCATCAAGGCCAGCAATGTCTTCTGGAGTCATTCTTAAATCACTCATTCCAGCACCAACTGTTCTGCCTCCCTCTTCCACATTTAACGATCCCATCTATATGATCCAGGATAATTTCCTTATTTTTAGATCAGCTATTTAAATTAACAGCCTTAATTCCACCTGAAATATTAATTCTTCCTTGCCATATGTGTGATGGTTAAGTTTTATGTGTTGACTTGGCCTGGCTCTAGTACCCTGTTATTGAATCAAATATATTCAGGGTGTTGCTGTGAACGTATTTTGTAGATGTGGTTAACATCTAGAATAGGTTGATCTTAAGATTACCTTCAATAATTTGGGTGGGTCTCATCCAATCATTGAAAACACTGAGATTCCCCCAAAGAAGAAATTCTGCCTCAAGATTATAGTATCGACTTCAGCCTGAGAGTTTCCAGATTGTTGGCTTCCCCTACACATTGGGACTTACTAACCCTGACAACTGTGTGATCCAATATATAACATATACATTATAATATATGTAATAATATATGCTATGTTATAAAATATAATGTATACAATAAAATTATATTAAAAATACAATTATATATAAGATATATATTATATAAATATATATATGTTTTCCTCCTGTATTAGGCAGAATAATGGACCAAAGATGTGGCTATTATTGTGTCACATCCAGCTACTAAGTTTGATTATTTTTCTACATTCAAGGAGACATCATTGAAGAGCTTTGAATGGAAAGTGATGTGGTAAGAGATTACTTTTACAATGGTGTGTTGGTTATATGGAAAGGGAGACACCAGAAAAAGGTAGAAACACATCTAGGTATGAGGCGATGTGGTTCTGGGTCACAGTGAGTGGTCCTGGGAATGAAAAATAGAGTAAGGTTATTCCAAGTCTTTGGAAATGAGTAAATATGCAGTTAATTTTACGTGGAGGTAGAGGGTAGGACAGAAAAAGGATTTTGAGCCAGCATCACACTGAAAGATATTCAGCTAAGGGACAGCAACTGTGGCAGTAATTTATACCCATAACATTTAATGTAAAGAATTGTTACCTAGTGAGAAGGTGGTTCACTAGATGAAATAAAGCCCTAGGAAGTACACAGAGAGCAGTGCAGAAAACGGCTACCTCTAACTATGATGGAGGGAATGTGAACAAGAAAAGAACTTAGAAGTTTAAAAGATGGGAGCCTGTGTGGCTCAGTCTTTTAAGTGCCTGACTTAGCTCAGGTCATGATCTCAGTTCATGATCTCAGGGTTTGTGAGTCCGAGACCCGCATCAGTCTCTGTGCTGACAGCTCAGAGCCTGGAGCCTGCTTTGGATTCTGGGTCTCCTCTCTCTCTCTCTGCCCCTCCCCCTGCTCTCTCTCTCTCTCAAAAATAAACATGAAAAATTTTAAAAAAGAAAAGAAATTTAGAAGGGATCCCTGCCCTCCACCAGATTGGATCAGGTCCTCTTTGGCGATGGGCAAGGTAGCCTCAAAACAGGCATCCTGCTGTGATGGATGACAGGTGCTGGGGGACCTGGGTAGCAACGGGTCTGAGGCTGCCCAGATGAGCGCTGCAGAGGAGGGGACAGGCCCTGCCTCCTGCTTCCCATGTCAGTGTCCCGGCAGCGCCCCCTGTTGGCAAAGACAAACATCAAGCTAACTGGCAAGGGAGAGCCATCCACAGGGTCCAGGTCCAATGTTATAAAGCAGGTAAAGAAAGATGGATTTGGAACCGTGGCGATCAATGAGGAACCAGCACAACCTCCATTAAATAAAACCTTGCTAATAAAATGGTAAACGATAGAGAATATTGACGATATTCCTTTGTTCATGCTTCCTGCTTTTCCCTAAAAAGTGGCAATATTACACCACAGTCAAATCCTTAATTTCACACACCTCTGGGGACAGAGTAGAAAATGAAAGTAGGTCGACTTTACTAAAAGAGAACTGGAACCAGAAGAAGGCTGCCTGACTAGAAGCAGAGCACTTTGTGAGTCACGGTCAAAGCTGGATGCAGCTCACGGTGCAAATCATCTTTCACCATTTTCTACCTTACGTATGTTGTTTGTATGATGCGAGGGGTTGAGTTGATTGGCTATGTGATGAGAGGAGGAAAAGGCTGCCATGCTGGCTCCTGGTTCATGTGCCGGTGCTGCTGAGGGGAAAGGCAGCTGCTCTCTCCCTTGACCGCCTTTCTGGTCATTGACCCTCTGTCTGGCTAAGTCTCCTCTTCCCCAAGTCAGATATTCCAACTCTTATTGATACTGGTAGCACCTGTGCAAGACATGGGTCCCAACTCCGCTGTTCATTGTGTAGCCTCAGTCCAAACTGCTCACTTCTCTGAAGCCCTGTTTCTATGTTTGTAAAATAAAGGGTTTGAGCTAGAGAGTTCTAAGAGACTCTTGTCTCTGTAAAAGTTTTTAATTAAAAAAAAAAACCCTCCCCTTTATCTACTCCTTTCTCCCTCATAAATGGCCTTTGTTATGTATATAACTGCCTCATTGCATGATGTCTGGACCGGAGCTCCTTCATATGGGACCAGAGTGAGGCATGCCTGAGACTCCCAGGGAAGAATGTTTTCAAGGACTTCTGGGAAAACACAGCACATTTTTTGAGCATAATGGGTTCAACTCTGTTTAGCTTCTTTTGCCCATAATACATACAGAAAAAGAAAACAAATGGTGAAAATACAAAATTGAAGATGGAGATGGCAGTCTCCATCATAGAGTGTACATTTTGAAGGCAGAGCCCAGATAGTTTTCTTCTTCTTTGCAGAGTCATGCAGCTCAGTGCTATGGCCATCTGTGTACTCAGGAGATATTGGTTGAAGTAAGTAGATTATGTATGTTTCCATTTCTGGTAGTTACATTTTTTTTTTTAAGACTGTTTAGTCTAGAAAAGTTAGATGGTGTTTTGGCTTGAGCCTCATAACTTTTGTAACTTGACGGAAGTCACCATAAACTCTAGATCATATGAGTTAATTTTTAGATTAGAAACTTCTATTTTACTCTATACAACTAAAAGGAATAGGGTTTGATTCAACTCACAGGCTCTACAAGCAACTTATGGACAATGCAGAGCATCGATCTGTAAATTGTAAGAAGGAAAGTGTTGGTTGGACAGGCAGGTCACAGAAGGTCTACCACATGCAGAGCCCCCTTTGGAGGGAATCCTCTGCCCAAGGTCCCCGATGAAAGGGGAGGCTGGTCGGCACAGCATGATCCCATGCTCACCTCCCACCTTGCTCCTTTTATGGGCCAAGAATGGGAATTTGACTCAAGGACTGTCATTCAGTAGGATGGCCAAACTTCCCTTCAGTCCCCGCTCAGGTTGCCTGATCAGTTTCTCTCTTTTGAAAATTTAGATTTGAAACAGGAAAAATTGGCTGAAACCCAAAGATTATTATGAAAAAAGAGTCAGAAGAAACTCATGATGGGCTGCGTTCCAGGTAAAGTCAAGAGGGAATAGTGGACATGGTGAGTCAAGAGAAGTTGAGTGGTAGAGAAATGACATACAGAGTAAATAGGAAGAACCAGCCAGTGGTCCAGAGGGAAAAGAGACAGACAGGTAGAGAGCCATTTGGAACTGAGCAGAGGTCCCAAGATTCAAAGCACCCCCCAAACCTGATGGTACAGCTGGGCTGTATCTGCTATAAATACTACAAAAGCATGCACTTAGCGGAACTCCAGTGTCAAATCTTGCTAAATTGCTGATACTTACAGTAACCAGATAAATGTGGTGTCTCTCTTTTTCTCTTCCTCTTGCTCTTCAGTCCTATCTTATATATACGAAGTTTAATATGTACTTATGTTTTTGGGTGCCTGGGTGGCTCAGTCAGTTAAGTGTCCGACTCTTGGTTTTGGCTCAGGTCATGATAGCAGGATTCGTAAGTTCAAGCCCTGCACTGGGCTCCGTGATGACAGTGCAGAGCCTGCTTGGGATTTTCTCTCTCTCCCTCTCTGTCTGCCCCTCTCCCACTCACTCTCTGTCTCTCAAAATAAATAAACTTAAAAAACATGTTTTAATATTATAAATTCAATAGTTTATAATGTATACACATCGCATATAATTTTAATTTATGCTGTGATGCAATTATGTGATTAAATTATATAATCTCTCTACTTTGTTATAATATAGCTTTTGAAATGTTAGTCTCTATATGATGTTTAGTATATAGAGAACTGTGTTAATCACTCTCTGTTTCTCTAGGAAGAGGAAATGGGCCAAGGCTGGAGGAAAAGACCACCATTCAGACAGGAGGAAATACACACCGAATGGAAAATGAAGACACAGAGATTAACATCCACATTCTGAAAGCGATAACAGTGCAGTGTTCAGTAAATGGCTTGGCAAAAAATTTCATTTTGTCTCCTGAATAAACATCAAATCCACCAGATGGGGCTCTAATATTCTTTTAGTTCAACGACAGAAAATTCCAAGCATTTACTATTATCTTTAGAGACAGAAAACATATTTCCCATATTAAAAGAATTTGCTTGAGATAGGGCTATGCCTTAATAAGCATTATCATTATTTCGTATCTTTTAATGCTATAAAGTGATTTATACAGAAAGTGGCCAATTTGCTGGAAATTGAGGCATCCAAATAGTGGAATTAAATCAATTCAAGTAATTCTGAGTTAAACCCTTTTGCAAATGTTCTTTTAAGGAAATAAGGACATATTTCACACACAAATAGGTGCATATTGCTACAGGACTGTTCCATCTTTGGAGCTACTGACATAATTTAAAATATGAATTGTTTAAAATTATATTAAATGATTGTGAAATTTATCACAGCTGCAGTATACTCAGCCCAATCCAGCTCTTTTGATAGGTTATGCTTTAAGAGTTAGAAATTGAGATTTTTTTTTTCCTCAGGGCAGGAATGTGGGTTCTCCAAAGAAAACATTTTGCTTCTATTTTTCTGAGGTTTAGATTTGGAAATCTGAGTCTCTTCTTGGACTCCTTTCCCCGTGACTCAGAACTTTTGTTGTTCAATCTGGAAAGAATGCCAACTTGAGAACTGCATCTGAATTTTGATTGAGAGAGTGGGTGGGTCAAAATGACAGACTTGAGACCGAGCTGGTTTGGGTCCCTAATGTCATCCAGTGGAAGAGTCCTGAGTTAGGACGGGGAGCCAGGCGTTGTTGATGTCTCCGGCCAGCCAGTCACGAAGGCCCATCGTGATGCTACCACTCCCCCAAAGTGTCTATGTGGTAACTATTTTGTCCTTCTGTGGGCCTCCTGGGCCTGGCTGAGGCTCCCTTTGGGAAGGACAGCTCTCCAGAGAAGGTAGCAGCTAAGAGCCCAGCAGCTGACTTGCACAGGAGCTGGAGGACAGGGGCACATCTGTCCTTTCTTGTCGCTAAGGTCACCAGCCGCACAGCCCCATGTAGACTCACTTGGCAATGACGCGTCCTGGAGCTGAGCAATGCCGCAGCCCTGTTTGTGCTAATCTTCCTAAAAAGGAAAGTTTTGTAAATTGTGAAGATTAGTGAACTTTTATTTCCAGGCAAACTATAAGTACATAAACAGTCTACATTGGCCCTTGGGGGGTTAGTTATCTTCCCCCTCCCACCCCCGCCCCACACACATTTGTAGCTAAAACATGGAAAGTATCAAATATACATGCTTGTTTAAGCCATTAGATGTATTTGCCATTAGATGTTCTTGGTGCCGTGGCCAGCGATGGGAGGGATTTCTGAGGAGGCTACAGGGGGTTAGAACCCACAGCCCCACCCTGCATTCTGCATTTGGAGTGGGGCTGGCTCAGTCTACTGCTGGTTAGAGGCCAACCAGGGAAGCGAAAAGCAGGTTCTGGAGGGCATGATGATAACTAGCGTCAAGTGTCACTTAGAGGCCAGAGCTCTGGGAGAAATACCTTCCAGGGGTTCGCATTTGCGTGTCCACCATCAGAGCTGGCAGGCATCCTCATCAAACTGCTACATACAAGAGAGGATGTGGCTTGCCCAGGCCATGCTGCAGCGACTGTTGACTGTCATTCAGCACTGTTGGCCCTGATTTGGGGAATAAGAGGGTGCTGAGGACAGACAGCACTCAGAGATCTTCCAAGAAGGCAGACAACCTCAGGGAACTCATCAAGGAATCCCATTTATGGAGTTTTTGCTATGTACCAGCCTCTGACACATGTAGAGTGCAGCTCCTGGGTGGTGAGGAAGGGCATAGGTTTTGGAATCAGATGACCAGAGTTCGCATCCTGAGTCAGCCTTTTCCTAGGCGGACAGTTCCGAGTGCATTACCGAATCCTCTTGGAATCTATACACTTCAGTTTTTAACCTTCACAGTGGAAATACTGGTCCCTGTGTCACAGAACACTTCAAAGGATTAATCGACGTCACTTGCATAAAGTGTTTATTTTACAGGCAGGAGGGAACTACTTCCCAAAGGTATGAGTGGGTGCAGGTGGAAAGGGAATACTGGTACAGGTCTCTCTGACTAGTGGCTCCTCTGCTTGCGATACCCTTACCCCGTGTAGATGATGCAGAGGCGAGGGCGAAGGGGCGGGCTCATGCAATAGCGCCACCCCTCTGGCATCTTCAGCAAGGGGTCTTCTTCAGCTGTTGACTCTGCTTCTCAACGTGCCGAGCTCGCCCCAGCCTTGGAGGGTTGGCCTTCGCTCGAATGTAGACTGGGATTCCATCACCCTGGCTACTGCTGGACTCACTCCCTCACCCTCTTTACATTCTTGCTGAGATTTTTACCTTCTTGTGAGGCCTCTCCTTCACAGCCTGACCACCAGTGGGATTCCCAATACACTTTTTCTTCTTTCCGAATGCTCTAAGAGGACATGGGTCTGCCTCTGTTTTCTCCCCCACCGCTGATGCTGATGCATGCCCAGTGCCTAGAATGGTGACTTAGTAACCAGTTAATAAACATCTGATGAATGAACGTTGAATGAATGAGCAGATGCGGTGGGTGGGGGAGGGCTGAAGGAAGCCAAGAAAAAGATGAGCCCTAAAACTAGTAGGATTTTTGAGTACTGAGTTTTGAGCCTAAAGATAGTAGGGTGGTATAAAGCTCAGTTACTTAAACCATAGCTCAAGGTCAGATTGACCAGGGGCAGGCTTGAAGTTCCGCTGAGTTGTGGAATATTGAATTAGAACTTCTTGTTCCCGTGTGGGTCAGGGCTAGTCCCAGGTTTCAGACATGAGCCTACATCTTTTCATTTAGCCAGTAAGTCAACAAATATGTAGTGATACCACTACGCTCCAGGCACATGGGAAGGGGTCTGGGTGTTGGGGAGACAGAGATGGATAAAACACCATCCCAGCTCTCATGGAGCCCAAAGTCTAGTGGAAGAAACAATTTTGCGTCATTCTGTTAAAAAGTTAGTGAAGTTGAGGTGCCTGGGTGGCTCAGTTGGCTAAACGTCTGACTCTTGATTTCAGCTCATTCTCAAGGTTTGTGAGATTGAGCCCCGAGTCGGGCTCCACAGTAATGGCACAGAACCTGCTTGGGATTCTCTTGCTCCCTCTCTCTCTCCCTGTCTCTTCCCTGCTCACATGTGCACATGTGCACATTCTCTTTCTCTCTTTCTCTCTCTCTCTCTCAATGAACTTTTATAAAATTAAAGAAGTTAAGTGTGGTGATAGATCTTGGACAGACTAAGATTTGCGTGTCCTGTGATCACAGGCTTACTGAGGCAGACGGCGGGGGGAGGGGGGCGGCGAGCAGGCAAAAGTTGGTGCTCTGAGAGGCCAACAAGTTGGTTTTCTTTCACACTGCTGGTCTTTAAATATTCATTCAACTGAATTTTAATGGAACAGGGCTAACTTTCTCAAAGTATATAAGAGCATCTGAACTTCAGATAGGGAAGTAAGTGATGTAATCCCAGTAAATAGCACAATGCCATGCAATATTTTGTTTTAGATGTTCAGTTGGCTGCAATTGCACACATAGGCCAAAAAAACCAAACAGAGACAGGGTGGGTCTCGTAAGAAATGTTTGTTTTAATTCTCACTTAGAAATGCTGTTTAATCTGATGGGAGTAAGCAATGTACATTTCACCAGTTAATGTATAACTGGAAACCCGTGTTGACTGGTGCCATGTCTACTTTTTCTCTGCAGTTGTTTTGATGGGTCTTATCAATTAGGTTCTGGGCTGCAGCCTGCCTGATCCAGCTTAGTCGCCATGTCTTCCCTGAGCCTCAGGTTTTTTTGCCTGTAAAGTGGGTTTAATAATCAGCTCACAGGGTTATTAAGAGATCAAAGTACGGTTTGTGCCAGTTTTTAAGTTTTCGTTAAAAGTTGTGGTGCGGGCATCTGGGTGGCTCAGTCAGTGAAGCGTCTAACTCTTGATTTCGGCTCAGGTCATGATCTCATGGTTCATGGGTTCAAGCCCCCCATCGGGCTCTAACTGACAGTGCAGAGTCTGCTGGGGAGTTTCTCTCTCTCTTTCTCTGTTCCTCCCCCGCTTGTACTCTCTTTCTATCTCAAAATAAATAAATAAACTGAAAACAATTTTAAAAAGCATGTAACATAAAATTTGTCATTTTAACCATTTTTAAGTGTACAGCTCAGTAGTGTTAAGTATATTCACATTGTTGCGAAACATCTTCAGAACTTTCTCATCTTGCAAAACTGAAACTCTGTCCACATTAAACAGCAGCTCCCCATTTCTCTCTCCCTCAACCCCTGGTAACCACCATCTACTTTCTGTCCCTATGAATTTGATTACTTTAGTAATCTGTGTAGTGGAATCACAAAGAGTTTGTCTTTTCGAGACTAGTTTATTTCACTGAGCATAATATCCTCAAGCTTCATCTGTGTTGTAGCATGTCATGGGATTTCCTCCCTTCTTAAGGCTGAATAAATAACCCGCTGCATGTATACACCAGGTTTTCTTTATCTGCTCCTCTGTTGATAGACATTTAGACTGCTTCCACCTTTTGGTGATTGTGCCTGGTGCTGCTGAGAATGTGGTGTGCAAATGTCCTCTTGAGGCCCTGCTTTCAAGTCCTTTGGGTTTATCCCCATCAGGGGCATTTCTGGGTCATACCGTAGGTCTATTTCCAGTTTAGTTGAGGAGCTCCATGCTGGTTTCCATAGAGCTCACCTTATTGTATATTCCCACCAACAGTGTACGGGTTTTAATGTCTTCACATCCTTACTGGCACTTAGTTTCTCTTTTCATGATAATAGTTTTTCTTTGTGTCGGTTTTAGAAATGATGCTAAGTTATTAGTGTGAGATAATTCTAAAATGAGTGCAGATGTTTGCACAAACTGATTTTATAAAAATATAAATGTAGGGGCACCTGGGTGGCTCAGTCGGGTAAGCCTCTGATTCGTGATTTTGGCTCCGGTCATGATCTCACGGTTTGTGAGTTCAAGCCCCTCACCGGACTCTGTGCTGACAGCACGGA